AATTCAAGAATTTGTAGAATCCGTGTGAGATTCTACAAATTTAGCTTACACTTACTACTAAGCTTTACGCACGAACACGAGGGAATTTTAGAGCAAAATTTTCTATTCCAGAAAACGCAAGATGGAGAGCTGGAAACTCAGCATGATGCTTCCACACAGTGCACATTCCTGGATCTTCAAACTCAGCTTTCATGTGCGCTTATGTCACAGGTATGGGTAAATGTGAAATCGTTTACCTTGGTAATAATGAAATCGAGGACAACTCCAGAGAATCCTGACTATCAAAGGAGTTAACTCCTCTTGCAAGATCCGTCGTTTTTCATCGGAAATGTCCGGTGGGAAGCGGGCGAGAGTGCGGTGAACATCCATTTCCACTTGATTCCATTCCTTATGATGCTGCAGTTCCTCCGTTGTTGGCGGTTGAAGCTGGAAAAATCAGCCACGGATTTCAACACTAGTAGTACCATGAACAAACACTCTTTTCAAAAGTTCATTAATCGCATAAGCAGTAGTTAGGACATTTCCGTAAAGGAATGTGATGAAATACGCAAGATGTTCAAACTCACGAGAGTGGCTGAACATGCTGGATATACGTCGTCATCATAGGTGAAATTTGAATGAGCGGATTCGAAATCCGAATCTGAGACTGTTGAAATTGTGTCCTGATCACTGAACGAGTCTTGCACAAGCGACGATGCTAGGATTGGCCAGATCGCTGCACGGATTTCATCCAGTACAAGTCCTGAAACAACGTGGATTAGTGTGTCATTGGTATTTAAATTGCACACTAATAAGTCCCGAACAAAACAACAAATATAACCTGCACAAGAAAATTTCAAGCCCTCACTGATGGATAACCTGAAATATCTGGAACAGCGGCCGATTTGTAATCTAAATCTCCATCTAGATACCTGGCAAATTTTCTCTTGATTGCGATTTTGCGCTACATGCATTCCCACTACTTCAAACACCCATGTCAATGAAATTATTTTTCCCGAAATGGTTAAAATTTCGTAAAACATTGAACAAAGTGTAAAAATTCACCAATTTTTCCGAAACGGCAGCGCAGAGAAAAGCTCAGACCACTGATAGACTGGCTATCAGGTGGTGCAATTTCGACCAAAGCAGCACGGAAGGGTTTCCAGCAATGCGAGGATGAACCACGAAAACATCAAGGTGAAATTACGTACCACCATCGGAAGCTGCGAAGTAGCGCAGTTGGTTGATATGCAGATGCAAGGAGTCGCGATGCTTCTCGATGAATGCCCGCATGCGACTGCATTTTATCTGCAGCGATCGATTTATCGCGTTCGGCAGCGCATTCCCTTTTTTTGCAATATCCTGAAATTTCGCCGATTTACAATAAAACTGGCCTTAATATCACTGGGAATTGAGAAACTGAAAGAGACGCATATGCGGCAATACGTGTGGTCAGTGACAATGCGACAAGCACTGGTTACGGGATGACGAATAAGTGAGGAACGATTACAGAACAAAGTGTTTTGAAGCAGTCCTTAGAGATGCTGCAACAACCTGCTCCAACAAATTCGATTTATATTGAGAAACCGTGCAAGAGAAATAATCTCGTCTTTGCTCTGATGCGTATCCGCATTTACTCATTTCTTTTTATGCGATTTTTGCAACAATGCAATGCGGGAAACGCATATTGACGAGAGGTTGTCTGTGTGTGTGTGTGTCTGTGTGTGCGCTGCGCGTCTGTATCGATTTTTCATCTCGAGACCGGCAAAAGCTACGGGGCTGAAACTTTGGGGGTTAAATCTACATGCACGCACGGGCCTCCATCTCCAAAATGGGCGGTCTTTCTCGCGTGGCACCCACGTAAGACCACGCCAAAGTTTTTAACGGGTAAGCTGATAACTCGTGAACCAGAAAAGCTAGAGAGCTGAAATTTTATGAAGTTTTTTACGGGTAAGCTGCTAACTCGCGAACCAGAAAAGCTAGAGAGCTGAAATTTTATGGGAACGTTCCCCGTCCAAGTAGGCACTAGTGAGCTCAAATCCAGCCTCCGGGTAAGCGTGGTACCCGTCTACGAGCCTCCCAAAATTTCTCTCGCATAAATTCATAACTCGGGGTTCTGAGATGCTAGAAAGCTGAAATTTTAGGGGAATATTCCCCGTCCACGCAGGTGCTAATGAGCTCAAATCCAGCCCGGATAAGCGTATTACCCGCGTACGCGCCCCCTAAAATTTTTTCCGCTTAAATTCATAACTCGGGGTTCTGAGATGCTGGAAAGCTGAACTTTTAGGGGAATGTTCCCAACCCAAGCAGGTGCTAATAAGCTCAAATCCAGCCCCCGGGTAAACGTGATACCCGCGTACGAGCCCCCAAAATTTTTCCCGCGCAAATTCATAACTCGGGGGTCTGAGGAGCTAGAGAGCTGAAATCTTAGGGGGGTTTTCCGTGTCTAAGTGGGTATTAATGAGTTCAAACCCTGTCCGCGGGTAACCGTGGTACCTACGTACAGGCCCGTGAAAATTTCCTTCCGGGCAAGCTAATTACTCGAGAACGTGAGAAGCTAAAAGACTGGAA